CAGAAAGTAACCGACTTGTGACTAATAATAATCAGATATATAGAGATTAGAAATGCATGTGCAAACACCTTAGTGTTAATTGCATTAAAAATGAAGTTTTCTGTATGAAACTGTATTTTAATAATGAAATGGAGATCTTTTCTAAAGATTCAAATGTCACTTAATTTTATGTCTTATCGGGTTTATACTGAGTCCAATATTAATTCAACTGTAAACCTAAAATTTGTACAGCCAATTTTGAAAGAGTGCATCTTAGCTCTGGAAATTGTTATTGAATATGTCAATGCTGTTGTAATGAAATGCTTCTTCTAATTATATGGTTATTAAATAAAATAAATAAATAAAATAGAAAGGGAAGAAATGCTTCCAAATTCATCCTTCAAACCCAGTATTACCTTGATATAAAAATCAGATAAAAACACAACCCACAAAAAAACTATAGAATGATTTCCCTTATGAACATGGATGCAAAAGTTCTCAAAGTACTTACAAACTAATTTCAACAATACATTGAAAAGATTCGTACTACACCATCAAGTTGGTTTCATTCCAAAGATGCAAGAATAGTTCAGTATTCACAAATCAATAAATGGACTAACATACATAAGTACACCGGAACAGAAATCCTATGATCATCTTAATAAATACAGAAAAAGTAAAGAAAGTACAGAAAACAAAGTTTAAAAATCCTTTCATAAAAAAAAAAAACCCTGAAGAAACAAGGAATAACAGGAGCATTCTTCAACACAATAAAGGCTCTGTAGATGATAAACCTAAAGCCAGTGGTATACTAAGTCAGGTAACATGAAAAATGTTTCTTCTTAAAAAATAAAAGGGAGGGAAGGAAGGACACAATTTGAATATAGGCAATGAAGAGGTGAACTTATAGAACCAAGGTAGATGGTTCTATAAAATTTTGTACATGCCAGTATAAATCTTGGATATGGCTGGAATTACAGTTTTTTTTAAATATCTGCCTCCATATCATTAAACAACTTAATAAAGGACACTATGAACTCCCCTCAATGAAAAAGCACAATGCATAATGCAGATTTATGATCAGTTATTGTGTTCTCATTGTCCTGGTCACCCGGAAGCTCAGAAACAAACACATGCCTCAATGTTGTTGTCCACTTAGGATTGTTTTATGCCACTGTTACATTATTTTAAACTGCTTCAGATCCTTTGTGGAATATACTAGATACATAAGCAAACAAACTCAGTAAGGAGAGGAAAAATTGTGAAGCTTCTGCGAGACCTTGAATAAGAGATAACATCACTCCAAGTAGACAAAGAAAAACAAACAGGGTTGTGTTTCTGGTTTACTTAATAGCACTTTGTGTCATTTCACTAACCTTCAAAAACTTAATGAAAAAACATTATAACTCCTGTATACTGTCAGTTTTATTTATGAGTATTTTTGTCTGTCAAAAGATTAAAAGTAGCATTTTACTTAAGTGGCTTTTGATTCATTTTTGGGCATGAAGCACTTATGGGAGGAAAGGGAACAAAATCTAAAGGCTTCTGCTCCCTCTGTTATAATCTTTACATTCCTTCCAGCCCATCTCAAGGAAGTCTCTCATCCTCAAGTATTATCTTCCTTTAGTTCAAGAACCTGAGTTGGCTTTCTGAGTTCTGTATTGTACCAAATCCGAATTCAACCTGGAATCCAGGATTCCTCAGCACTTTGCTGAACTTGATTTCTCACTCCCAAGGCCTGTGTCCATGTTGCTCCCTTCTTCCGTCTCTGAGAAGCAGCCCTCACTTGTCAGGGCAGTGTCCTGGCTTTCTACTTCTCTCCTTTGTCTTTGTAGGTGATGACATAGTTTCCCTGGTTACATCTACTCCATTCTGGCCATCCACATTCCTCTCTGTTAACAATTAACCCTCTAGGGATACTTGCTCAATTCTTTTTCCAGAATCTCTTCTCCAGTTCTTGGATACTCAGCCCAAGGCTTACAACAGCAATTTGCACTGGAATAAACGTTAAGTGACCTTCTATGAGTTGGCCACTAATATTTCCAAATGTTTTCCAGTTAGACTGCAGTCTTACTCGTAAGAAATACATGAAAACTCTCTATGTATTCTAAAAACTATAAATACGAAATCCAATATATATTTTCTTGTTTTTTAGAGCAACAAAGGAAATATATCGAAAACAAGTAAAAATCCTGAGTGATAATTTGGAAAGAGAATCTCAGAGATGGTAATATGTGTGAATGTGTTTGTTGTCAGTAATGTATGCTACCTAAAGCCCAACAGAATGGTTTCCCTAAATTAAATTGTGTATGAGTTCACTCAGATCTAGATATGTTTGTTAGACTGATTTTTTTCTTTTTTTCCTTTTTGAATTGAACAGAAGCAGAGTTTTCCATTTCAATAGCGTGAAATCACCAAAGAGTAAAATTGTCAACATTGGTGCAATGCTTGTTTCTCATCCAGAATTTTAATGAACTGATATGAGAGGTGGCATGGAGAAGGTGTTCATAAATGAAGTTGTTAAGACCACAGGTGCTCACGTGGGGCCAGTTTGGTTGTCCTGTCTTATTGGTTCTATGACCATGGCTCAGTTACTTCATCTCTTCTCATTGGCCCACCTCTGTAAAGTGAGGGATGGTAGTGGTCCCCACCTTATGAATTTGTTGCGAATGTCGAAGAGATGACCCATCTAAAGCATATAGATCAAGTGTACCTGGAAATCACGTGCTAATAGCTACATTTTATTAGTATTGTTGTCGATGTTAAGTCAACTGTACATTTTTATTATTCTCCAAATATATCACATTTTTATATTGTGGTGAAAAGTCTGAGAATTCAAAAACTTGAAGTTTCTTATTAGCACTCTGGGTACTTTGGATAGTCCTGTTGCTGTTTCCACCTATGTCTTTTCTTTCTCCACCTGGAGGCTTCCTCATTTCTGTCCTGCACCTGATTGGCAAGAGTTGCCCCATGTGGTCTGTCCACTGGGAAGCGGCTTACAGAGACAATGCAGAGGCAGTTAGCATTCCATCTTCTGTTTGAGTTAGTGTCCAGGGGTACGTATCACTAATGGCCCAAGCAATTTGCAAGATCTTAGTAGGACTCATTCTGACTCCTCTGTTCAGTAAACTGTTGTATGAATTTAATGGCAATTTTCTTTTGTCCTTCTAGTGTTGTAACTCAGTGGAAAATAGCTTGTGCAAGAAAGAGGCATGCACGTTGGCTACTCCAGATAAAGGTTACCATAGAAAACATTATATCTAAAATTGAGCTTGCAGAAGAGAGACGAGTTGAATTACTTAAAGAGGTAAGGGAACCCAAGGTGCCTGGAATTAATGTAGCCCCCTACATTGCAAATCGGTGATTTTCCTGCAACATTTAAATAAGCCCTATCTCACAAAAACATAATTTCCCTTTCTGCTGATATCATGGTTAGGGTGAATTATTTCCCCTTCTTCAGAAATGCATTCATTTGCTATGTGTTAACTAGAGAGATTTAAATCTTTTTAAATTTCGTGTTACATTTATTATTTGCATGTGTATGTATGCATGCGTGCATGTAGAGGTCAGAGGACAACTCCCAGGAGTCAGTTCTCTCCACCAAGTGGATCCCAGAGATCAAACTCAGGTTGTCAGGCTTTGTGGCAAGAGTGCTGACCTGCTAAAGCATCTCACCGGACCAAAGAGATGTAGAAGATTAATTATCATTTCACTCTAGAATGTGTTGTTTGTGAACCATAGAACCAGGTCCTCACTTGAGATTCACTTTAGGGGAGATGTCCCTAAAAATATGAAACTAGGCATTAATTATTATTCCTGTATTTACACTCTGGGTACCCACCACTCCCATCTTTCCCATTTCTCATGTCATCATAGATGTTTTTAGTAAAAAACTTAAGTTTGAAAGGACAAAGGTAATCCATCTTCAGTGGTTGCTGAGAACACTCAGCCTGCAATCCTAGGCATGCTTCACGCAGGTCAGTGCACCAGGCATATTTAGATATGTAAGACTAAACAGCACAAGAGAAATGACAAATCTTCTTTTTCTCTAATTAGACAAGACAAAGGGAAATGGAGATTAATGACTTTGTGACCAAGATCGAAGTACTTACATCAGAATTAAAAAATGAAGAAATGGATTTTGTTACCAAGGAAAAAAAATTAATTCAAGAGTTGAGCAAGTATGAGGTAATTTTCATTTTGCATCTGAGGATAATTTTGGAGGATTATGTGATGGAGAGGGAAATGACACTGCATATTATCATGATGAGTTAAATGTAAAATCTTCCAATGTGAACAAAGACAAGATTGCAATTCCATTCTGTACCTTTCTTCTTCTTTTCCTGAAATATAAAAATTGATTGACTTTTTTCTCAGTTAAAAAAAAACAATACCCATATACTTCAAACAAAGCTGAGTGCTGGTGACAGACTTGAGAAGAGGTGATGTTCAAGAAGCCATTGGGAGCTGGCATGGTAAAGCTGGGGCGAACCCTGAGAAGTCAATTTTAGAACTCCTCCTGAGAAACTTCTAAAAGCCAACCAGGCTTGAAACAGGAAGAGTAGAGAGAGCAGCACTGGAAGCACCCGGGGCTTCTGAGGTGCAGCCTGCGGGTCATAGCCAAAACGCAGACTTTCAAGGTGACAGCATTACCTTGAAAGGCCATGTGTCTTTGAAGATCAGCTGATGAGGTGGATGGTGGTAGAAGCCCCCAGTGTCTAAGAATCAGCCCCAAGTTCCCATGAGACTAAAGTGTTGACATAAGTCTAATCCTGGGTAGACGCAAGGATTGATCTCCACTGGGAGGTCAGTGGGTCTCCATGATTTGGGTCTTAAGTACATGTATACATAATGGTTAAAAACAAATCTCACTTTCATCCAAGCCAGAATGTACCTGGTTTCTAACTGTTCATAAAGCTCTACATACCACTCCAATGTTTTGTTTTGCTTTTAATTAGGAGCATGTTGAATATGTTAATTAGTTTTTTTCATTGCTATCTCAAATATACAGGAGAGTCCCTGATCAGCTTGTGCCATTGTTATCAGCTTGTGAGGAGACATCATGGTAGCAAGATTGTGTGGCTGAGCACACTTGCTCCCTTCACCGCTTGGCCAGACTGTGGAGCGAGAGATAGACAGGAAGAGGCCAGGGACTTGACAACATTTAAGAGCTTGCCTCCCATCACTGACTTCCTCTAGCTAGACCCCACCCCCTACTTCCAACTACTTTCTAAAACAACAGAATCCTACTGGGGAACTGAGCCTTTGACATTAAACCTGTGGGGGACAAGTTGTATTCAAACCATAATACTGCAAAATATGCATAGAAAGCTGACTAATGTTGCTCAGGTGCAATCAGAGTGATGCTATGTGATGCTTTCCTGAACTTCATGACCTTGGAAGAGGAAGTCTAGCCACTCCAAAAAGGGTTTTCTTTGAAGGAACCAGGAACCATCTCTTACTGTACCAAGAAAGTAGAGAGCTCCTAAATTTCAGTTTATAATTTTACCCTGGACCAAACCCACTTTCTCTACAACCCTGTCCTGTCATATCATGTGCAAATCCTTTCAGATAGCTTTTTCAAAAACAGCTATTTTTTCTAGTATTAATACTAAAAAATGAAGTAGATACATCTTCCAAACAAAAATACTATGAGGAAAACAAGTGTAAGGGGGAACAAAATTTTCCAAAATAATTAAGATGAGTTGGGGAAAGTGTTGCCATGGAAGAGATTAAAAAAATAGTCCTCAAACCTTCCTCTGCAAATTTAAAAAACAATAATTTAATACAGATGCAACGATGGATCATCAATACAGAAATACAAGTGCTTGGGGAAGATATGTCAGGAAGTGATGATTACAAAACAGGGTTCCGTGAATTAGAAATGGGGACAACCCAGGGAACAGACAAAGGAAAGGAAGCAGTGCTCAGGAAAGCAGAAGAGAGCAAAGGAGAAAGGCCGGATAGAATGACCTTCCACCCGGTGTAGCACCTCCAAGGACCTGGCGCTCTTTTGGAAGCTGAAAACCACTTAAAAAGTCTAGAGAGGAGAGACCAGACATAAACAACATAAGTAGAATATGAATGGGATAGATACTGCAGAGAAAAATCAAGCAGGGAAGTGGGACAGGGTATATATTTGTATTGTCTGAGTGCCATTGTAAATAAGATTGAGAAGGTCCAGCTCTAAACTGGCAAAGATGTGTGCCATGACCATGAGTGCAAGTATCTCCAGTACATGCTAAACTTGGAGGTGGAGCAGAATGCTCCTATTTGTAGAACAAGGGTTCGGTGTTGCTAGACAAGCAATCCACAGTTCTGGAGTTGGTAGGCATCATCTCCAGGAAGCAGAGGCTGAGAGGGAATCAGGAATGCAAAGGTTTGTTAGTGAGTGATTTCTGTGTAAGGGCTGGGCAAGTGAAGCCATTTAGCCATTATATGACTTGACAAACTCTCTTAGGGGATTCTGGATGGATGACTGGCTATCAGGAGAGTGCTCTTGGGCAAAAATGACTACATTCTTGAGCCTTCCCCTGGCTCATTCGTTGACTGAGAGCCATTCCCTGGAAGAGCAGGATATTAGTTAGAAACCCTGAGGGGCCAGCCACCCTCAGCTAACCACCCTCCTCCCAACATGGCAGCCAACTCATTTGTGGGGGGTGATCTCCATGTCTGCCACACCCTTATAAATCATTCTAAGTAGTTTTGTCCTTTGCCCTACCTGGGCTGGGAAGCCACCAAAGGGTTCTAAAATGATCTGACTTTTATTTAGATAAGATCACTCTAGTTGCTATTGAGTAGAAATTAGGAAAACAGGGTTGATGCACTAAACTAACCAGGAAGCTATAGCAACAACCCAAGTAAGAAACAAGGGTAGCTAGCTAGCTTAGAACAAAAAAGTATCTGAAGGTATTAAGAAGTGGTCAACATCTCAGATTTTATGTGTATGTTCTGGGGATTAAACTCAGCACTGAGTTACATATGCTGCTCTATCAGGTACATTTTTACTATAATACTAACAGTTTACATCTGCACTTAAAAAGTAAAACAAAGGGAACAATCCCCATGAAATCACAGACACAAGGAATCAGGATCCTATTCAATATTACACTGAGCATTATGCAATGGAATGAGTCAAGTTAAGCAAAGCATAAGTGCAAGATTTCAAAGATAATATTAGTATGTTGCAAAAACAAACAACTAAACAAAAATGAACTGCAAAACCATTACAAAACAGTCCTCCAGCCTGGACTTGGGTTGCCAACTTATGGTCCACTCAGATTTGTGTCTGTCTACACTGATTATACAAGGCATAGACTGATGGCAGCCTGAGCACCATTATTATGGAGAAATAATGCTATTTTTCTCTTGAAAATCATCACCATTAGCCCCAGACACATTGTAAATGTGTTTCTGCCTTTGGTTCAGTGGCTTGAGGAGCCCCAGGTAGAAAAGAAAGAATGATAACAATCTCAGATTTTGATTTATAGGACTAAATGGTACCCTCCAGGGAACCAACATTCTTTCTCTCTAGTAGTAAAATCTCGAAACTCATGGAATTTAAAATCAAGATCCTTAGGCTTGATAATAAGAAGCACTGTTACCACTTAGGTCTCTGATACATAAATCCTAAGGAAAACAGCCCTGGATATAAGTCTGGTTCATAAAGTAGTTTCTAAAACTGGAAAGTGTTGTCTCCCAGGCAAACATGTCTGACTTTTCTATAGTCTTAGTACCTCCACTGAAATTCTCCTATCAGAGCACGCCACAAGCCTTATCACTGGGCTCTAGCACCAACTGTGGGACACACTGGGTTCTGTTGGATCTGTTGGGTCCCACAAATTGGGCAGGATCTCCTCAGAGGCACAAAGCTACCATAAGTGGTTTATTATAGAACTTGACTTTCTGTGGCTATGGCTTCTGGTCACAGTCTCCTGATGCCATAGGCTTTCCAACACTTGCTGGAACCTGAAGTGAGCAGACCAAGCACTTGGGAAGGAAAACTGGACAAGGGGTAGTTGAAACCCAAACCAGCTAAGACTCTCAGGATGAGCTGGAACCTTTCACCCTTCCAAGGCTCTGAGTTTAGGTGGTAGTAACCCTCAGGGCACATTAGAGATCATCACTGCTGAGCTTTATAGGCATGTAGCTCAGGAATCAGAGATGCTGAGCAAAATCTGGAAGGATCTAAAGATAGTGCAGTCCTGATTGGCTGCCCCACACCAACGCCCTGATCCCACAGACAAGTGACAACTTCCCTGAGCTGTGCTGTACCTGGGACCCATGTCCACTCAAAACATAAAACAAGAGCATGCTTCTTATCAAAATAACACTGGCCACCCTGGCCCTATGCACACATACACTCAAGTATATACTTTTAAGTCTCTGTTACCCTTTGGTTAAGAAAAGGCAAAGTGTGTATGGGACTGCAGAGGTGGCTCAGCGGTTAAGAGCACTGCTGCTCTTGTAAAGGATCTGGGTTCGATTCCCGGTACCCACATGGTGGCTAACAGTAGTCTGGTAGCTCCAGCTCCAGGGGAGCCAACATCCTCTTCTAACCTTTGTGGGCATTGTATGACATGGGTACACTTACATACATGCAGGCAATATCATACACATAAAATTAAAGTAATAAATAAAACAAAATAGAAAAGATAGTGTAGATAATACAAAAATGAGTTCATTAACCTAGTCAATGCTAAAGCCTGAAGATATTCACTCCTGCTTCTGCATTATGATATCTTTAAATTATAGTTTAGAGCATGGATATTTATCTTTCTGTATTATTTTTTTTCCAAAAGATTCTAATGGTAATTTTGGAAGAGACACATAAGTATATCAGCTGAGGTGCTAGCAAGTCATTTTATCAAAAAGATGAGAAAACAACTAAAGAGCCCACCTTTCCTCTGTTAACAAGAAATTGACCCTAGATTAATTGCCTGCTTCTTACCCTAGTAATCTGAAAAAGTGGAGCATCTGCTGTATTATCACACAACACTGTTTACAATAAGCACAACCATCAGTGGGAAGCCAGAGTATTGAGCATGCCTGTTTGGGGATCTGCAAGGTGTGTACAAGTGAGATAGCGAGCATCCATCTTTCACATCCAACATAATTCTTCCTTTGACATGGACAAAAGCTGGATAAAAATTAAAACTAAAAAATAAATGTTTTTAACAATAAATTGTGCAAGGCTACACAAGTAAAATCTTGTGCATGTAAATGTTTATCTGAGAAGATATCTTGAAGTACTCATTAAGAAATCACACGAGCTTCAGTTTGCTGCCTCCTGATGGACTCAATCAGTCAAGAAGCAGAATGTTGGAGAGAGAAAGAGGTATGTTAAGGCACCATGTTGGAGCCAGGGTGGAGAGATGGCTCAGCAGTTAAGAGCACTGGCTGTTCCTGCAGAGGACAAGGGTTTAGTTCCCAGCACCCACATAGCAGATAACAACCAACCCTTCTCCACTCCTCAGGATAGAAGACAGAACTCTCTCCTTGGAAGAACTTCCATTTACTCTAAGTTGTAGTATACATTGTCCAGAATCATATTTCTCAATTAGTTTTATTTTCTTTAAAGGATTTAATTATTAGGGAAACACAAATGAACAAAGAGAAGGAAGAGGAACTAGTTGAAAGTGTTCCACAGCTTCAGAAGGCAGAAGAAACATATCTGGAAAAACACAGATGTCTGAAAGAACTCCACGGTGAACTTTCAGGTAGGTATGAATTAACTCTCATCCCAGGTTCTCTACCAACACAAAGGGGGCATCAATTACAGGCCCATTGGGAAATGAGCCAACTTTGCCCATCACCTTTAACTCTACTTTCTAATGTGTTTCATCTCCCATTTTCCTCTCTCCTGGCTCAATTCATTCTCTTTGCCCCTCCCTCCCTTTCTTTCCTGCCTCTCTCTCTCATTTCCCCACCACCAAGCTCTAGGAGTCAAACCCAGGGACTCCCCCATGCTAGATAAGCAGCCATTTCACCCCTGACACTCCTCCCAGTGCCTCCTTTTCTCTTTTAAAACCATTTTAAATTAAGAATTAGTAGTTTACTGGATTATATTGTTGCTAAAGGTAGAATTAGCTTTTGTATCAGCTACCATGTAGAAATTTTTTTCTGTTCCTTACCATGAATTTGTTAATTACAACTCATTTCTTCCTTACTTTAGCATTTGCCAAGTAGATAGGCCTCCATTTTTCCACTAACCTATCCCTAAGAAAGAGATAAATAAGGCTTATCACAGATGTGGGTGCTTTTAGAAGGTGTGAAATATATCTGTAAGTATGTATTACATAGCACAACCGTGTGTGTTCAAATAAAGACAATTGTTTTCTTGATTAAAAAAAAAACAAAACTAGATGTGAGGGGCTGGAGAGATGGCTCAGCAGTTAAGAGCACTAACTGCTCTTGTGGAGGACAGGGGTTCGATTCCCAGCACCTTCATGGTGGTTAACAACCATCTGTAACTCGAGTTTCCAGAGACCCAACACCCTTTTCTGACTTCTGCAAGCATTGCACAACACAGGTGCACCAACCTACATAAAGGCATAACACTCATACACATAAAAAAATTAATAAGTACAATAAAAAAAAAACTAGATGTGGTCATCTAACCCTGCACCCATCATCCTGGAGATTTGAGTCTTGCCTTCATTCAGAGAGTAGAGGATCATTATCCAGGAACTCTGTACAGGTAGATCTTTAAGCAGGAATCCCTAGAACTTCATCTTCTACATGATGAAAGAAGGACTGAGGAACCCAGGGTAACAGAAGGAACTTAAATAGGAGCTAAAATATATCCTCTGAGGTAGGACTGGGACTGATCAACCAGTAGATAACTATAAAGACAGATATTAGAAAAGCCTGTGCTAGTAAGATCAGCTGTCAAGCAAATGTTGAAAAACAAAGTGATTATTGCCCCCCAAAAGGTAAATTTTCAGGAATATATAAATATAATAGTAAGAGCCCGGGTGATCAGTCTCTCTCCCATTTCTGAGCTGCTTCTCTGTTCCTTGCCGGATTTTCATTTGTTAACTCAGGTAGGCTTTCTTGCCACTTCTCTCCCAGATTCATGTGCACTTCATTCCCTTCCACTTTTTTCCCATCTTCTTAGTACAAAGTGGAGGGTGAGGAAGCACTGTACACAGAACAGTAAGCAATACTTCACAGGCACAAACCACTTACAAAGAAAAGGGGAAAATGTTGATGAAAACAAAAAATGGGGGGACGGTGGGAGGTAGAAGCACACTAATAAATCAAAATTTAGGTCATAAAAGGAAATTTTGAAATTCATAGAATTGAACAAAAAATGAAATCATAACATAACCAAAATCTATGGGACACAATGAAGACAGTTCTAAGAGGAATGTATAGCACTAAATATATACATCAGAAAATTAAAGACATCTCATACTAATAACTTAATGATACACAATAAGGCCTTGGAAAACCATGAACAATCAACACCCAGAAAGAGTAGACAAGAAAAGATAAACAAATCAGGACTGAAATTAATGAAATAGAAACAAACAAAAGCAATACAAAGAATCAACAAAACAAAGAGTTGGTTCTTTGAAAAGATTAACAAGATTGACAAAGCTTTAGCCAATTACCAAAAGAAAGAGAAGATACAAATGAATAAAGTCAGAGATGAAACTGAAAGTATTTATAAAAGACCCTGAGGAAATTCAGAAAATCACAAGGACGTACTTTAGAAATCTATAATCCATTAAACTGGAAAACCTAAAAAAAATGAATGCATTTCTAGGTATGTATGATTTACCAAAGTTAAATTTAGATAAAATAAATAATTTAAATAAAACCATAACAATCAATAAGATAGATGCAGTAACTAAAAATCTCACAACTAAAATGAGTCAAGAACCAGATGGATTCAGCTCAGAATTCTACTTCCTCAAATCATTTCATAAACTAGAAAACAAACACTTTCAAATTCTGTGTAGCCAGTATTATTCTGATACCAAAACCAGACAAAGATTCTACAAAAAATAAAAAAAATTATAGGCTAATCTCCCTGATGAACATAGACACAAAAATTCTCAGTGAAATACATGCAAACAATTCAAGTGCATATCAAAAAGACCACCCACCAGGATCAAGTAGGCTTTATTCCAGAGATGCAGAAATGGCTGAACACACATAAATTAATAAATGTAATCCAGGAGGCTGGAGAGATGGCTCAGCAGTTAAGAGCACTGGCTGCTCTTGAAGAGGACCTGGGTTCAATTCCCAGCACCCACATAGTAGCTAACAACTGTCCATAACTCCAGGGGAATCCAACAACCTCTTCTCACCTCTGTGGGCACTACCCAACATGGGTGCACTTACACACACGCAGGCAATACACTCATAGACATAAAAATAATAAATAAAGGGGTGGAGTGTTAACTGGAAGGGTACCCCAATCTATAGTCACATCTACTTCCCATGCTCATCAAGAAGTTGAGGGGGGAAGTCAGTTACTCCTTCCACCCAATCAGTCAACCTTAGCTGCATGGGGGGAGGGGCTAAAGATATACAAACAGAATGCCAGGAGGCCCCTCTCTCACCATTTTCTGTGGCTGTGGGGAAGTCACAGGATCTATATTTGAGTGTGGACTTTCTAGTGCAGCCATGAATGGGGGGTACCCACTCATCTGTAAATAAACCCCCACCTTAGGCTCTGTTAAAAAAAGAAAAATGGAAAAAAATAATCATAAAAACTTTTAAAAAATGTAATCCACCACATAAAAAGTCTCAAGATGCCAGGTGTGGTGGCGTATGCCTATAATCTCAGCACTTGGGAGGCATAGGCAGGCAGATCTCTGTGAGTTCAAGGCCAGCTGGGTCTACATAGTGAGTTCCAGGACAGCTGGGGCTACAAGGAGACCCTGCTTCAAAAAAAAAAAAAAAAAAAAAAAGACAAAAAAGAAGCCTCAAGAACAGAAACCACATGATTATCTCACTGGAAGGAGAAAAGGCCTTTGACAAAATCTAACATTTATTCATGATAAAAAATCATGGAAAATATAAGGATATCTCAACATAACAAAGGCAACATACAACAAGCCCACAACCAACATCATACTAAAAGGAAGAAAACCCTCAAAGCAGTTCCACTAAAATAAGAAATGAAACAATGTCTACTCTCCCCATTCCTGCTCAATAAAGTTCTTGAGGGGCTGGAGAGATGGCTTAGCAGTTAAGAGCACTGGTTGCTCTTCCAGAGGACCCAGGTTCAATTCCCAGCACTCATATGGTAGCTAACAACCATCCATAACTCCAGTTCCAGGGGATCTAGTGCCCTCTTCACCACACGGGTACGCTTACACACATGCAGGCAATACAATCATACACATAAAATAAAAATAAATAAATAAAATATTTTTTTAAAATAAAGTACTTGGGAGCTGGAGAGATGGCCCAGCAGTTAAGAGCACTGACTGCTCTTGCAGAGGACCCAGGTTTGATTCCCAGGACCCACATGGCAGCTAGCAACCATCTATAACTCCAGTACCAGGGGATCCAACACCTTCTTATAATCTCTGTGGGCATTGCTCGACATGGGTGCACCTACCTACATACAGACATTACATTCATATACATACATTTTTAAAAATAAATATAAAAAAATAAAATCAAGTACTTGAAGTTTTAGCTAGCGCAATAAGACAAGCAAGGGAGATAAATTGGAAAGGAAGAGTCAAAGTATCGTTATTTTCATACAATATGATTCTATGCATAAAAGACCCAAAAGAGGGACTGGAGAGATGAAGACTCAGCAGTTAAGAGCACTGGCTGCTCTTGCAGAGGACCCAGGTTCAGTTCCCAACACCCACATGATGGCTAACTGTAGCAGGAGGCCTCCAAAGATGGTGTGGACCCAGAGCCCTGGGATTCAGCGAGAATTCACTTCACTTCTTGGTCCGCAAATACCCAGCCAAAAGGAGCCCACGCCTCCATACCCTGCTCGGGAGCTCAGTAACTGCTGACAGACTGCGTGGTGCAGACCAATCAGAAAATGACATGCTGACTGAAGGGACTTGGGGCAGAGAAAAGAGAAATATAAGGCCTGCACCCTCCTGCATTAAACGAGCCTGCAGCACCTCGCCTAGTGCTTGCTTCTACCCAACACCCAATGTCTGTGTGTTGACTCCGTGCCTCTTGCCCCCCTTAATCGGTAGAAGACCCAATTCAGGTCAGGGTCTTCACAGCTGGCCTGAGGAGAACCCACAACACCTGGTGCCTGAACAGGGACCCCTGCCCATGGTGTTGGTGACACCCAGAACCTCGATTCATTTGGTAAGTAGGCCCCTGGATTTGTCTGTTTCTTCAGCTGCTTGAGGGTAGGAGAGTAGCCCCCTCCTCTGTCCCCTCCACCCTGTCTGTCATCTTTATTGTTGGACTAGTTTGTTAGATCAGGGAGGCACACTCCACCACATGGTCCCGAAGCCCACATCGGCACCTCCCCCCTCTCGGCTCGTCCCAGTGAGTTCACATAAGGGCTGCTCCACCCCGAACTCAGAGCCCAGGCTTCAGGTCACCCTGTTGCCTGTCCCGGAGATACCATGTGAGCATACGGCTGGAGGTGTCATGGCTTCCAGAAGTCCCTCAACTGAGCACAAAACATTTGGATCCGATACACCTTTACATGTCAGGGTGGTTTACATGTGAGTGGCTCACAGTGCTTCTTTGCTTCCTTTGTGCCCTCTTG